TTAGGAGCTACTTAAACATCTTCCTACCAAAGTCCACCACCGCATAAGACCTGGGCATGGGCTCTACCCCTCCCAAGGAGTCACGTTCAATGGGTGGCCAATGTGAGGCAGCTCCTCCCTCTACGCTCAGGGGACTGGGATGCCAGGGTGTAGGACCTGGTGTGGGGCTACAGGGAGCTCTGGGTTGATGTTCCCTCACATGGAGGAGTCTCTGCTCAGACCCAGCAGCACAGGGTCTCAGGGTGAACTGGGGGGAAGAGATGTCTCTAGTCCTACCCATTGCTCCAAGCAGGGTCAGCTATGGAGTTGATCCAACCTGGTCTTGAAAGGTTCCAAGGGTGGAGGTGGCACTTTGCAGGACAACCTCTGAAGCTATGGCACTGCTGCCCCATGACCAACCCATGGGAGCCCCAGAGCAAGGTGCTTCCCAGCATGTCCAGGTCCCCACTACCTTTCTGGTAGGGCTTCTCCTGCTCAGCTCAGAGCTGGGTGTATGGACCAAGGCTCCCTGAAAGCCAGAACACTGAGGTATCATGTTGTTGGGTAGGATGACCCCCGCGAGAGTGAAGTGCCCTGGGTAAGTCCTGAGAGCGGTGGGAGCTTGCCTACCACCAGTACATGGCTTTTAGTGAGCAAAACCCCACTCCACAACCCACAAATCTTCTCTGACTTGAGACTCATGCCAAAGGAGCACATGGTGAGGACCAAGACTCAAATCTTGCTGACAGACTCCCCTGCCTCCTCTCTTCCTAACTCCAAGTTCCTTCATATATAACACTTGTCAGTGACTGGTCACCCTGGGTCCAAATTCATTCCAGTTATCCCCCAGTCAACCTAAATCTCAGTTCCAGCTCCAGATTTGGCCCTATCTGCCAGACCCTCAACTTTGCCCTGGCACAATCTACACTCTCATGCATTTTCTTTCTCCAACTTGAGACTAAACCTGAGCCTCACATCCATTTAGAGCTGAAAATGTATTTCCCACTGGACACTCAAATGTCATTTCAGAGTAAATCACCTTCAAGGCAGCTCGCACATCTCACCAGACAGAGGAACCATGAGCAGCAGTTGCAGGCTCATGGCAAGGGAAACACACTTTTGGAGACTTTAAAACCTTTAAAGAGTTTAAAACCATCAGCTTAGCCATTTAAAGCTCAGAGTGAGCTTTGAGCCATGGCCCTGGTACTTTATTAAACTAAATATTGAGGTGATGATGCTTGTCCCACAGACAACCCTTCTCCATGAGCACTCACACACACACATGTAAGCACCTCTCTTTTCTTAAATGGGACCACAGAGCTGAAGAGCAGCCTCTGACGTGAAGACTCAAGCCATTTTAATTGCAATTAAAATGAATCACTTGCAACGTTCTCAGCTTCCTAAAATACCTTTCTCTAACAAAAGAGTCAGTCATACTTGAGCATCCAAGTAGAAAGTGGATGTGATAAACTCAATGCCTTCAGGGCAAAGTTCTTGGCAGTCCGTGTAATTAAAGCAGCTGCTTTTCAATATGGTTTAAGACTAAATAGTGCACAAACATTAATCATCAGGGACTGCTGTAATCAGCTTGGCAACCGTCAGGAATGACTATTTCCACTGCAGTCATTGATTACTTAATGGCTTTCAGGAGAGGTTGATATAGTCATGTCTATACAGCAATGCAGAGAGTCTATGGGATGCTACTTAGTTTGGAGGGGTCACTTTCTTGGTGTCTAGAAGGGAAAAAAAAACAGAGGATATATCTGTTTCTGGGAAAACATAGGTCTCACTGCAAAGCAGAGAGGGACCAGCCACCAGCAGTTGCAAAATAGCTACTTTTGGGATGGTTTAGTCCTTGATCTGCCAAACTCAAAGTGCCAGTTAGTGGAGATGCTCATGAAAGGAAATCATCAAAACAGGGAGCTGATCCGGGGAAAAGAGCTATCCCATGCCACTACCTGCCCCATGAACAAATCTAGACATTGCTGGGATGTGGAGAAAAAGGACTAGTATCTCCAGTACCATGAAGGTCTTTCTAATCTTAATTGGTGCTGTGGATTAAATGTAGGAGTGGGCACTGGATGAATCTAGTCCCATCACAGAAGCATAGGGCATGGGCTCAGCAAAATGCATCCCAACCCATTGTGTTGTCTCCCAAACCACTGAACCATCAGAAATGACTACTGCTGCTGCTACTGCTACCACTTTCAGGGTACTTCTGCGACTTGTTGAGCTCCCCATCTCCCAGGTGGAGAAAAAGACTCAATCTGAGCATGGGCTATCACTTGATTTCTCCAGGTTTTTGGTTGGGTTCAAGATTTTTTTAGCCTGGAGCTGGGCTCAGTTTCATCTTGAGAATAGTTACATGGTTTTACTGAGAGAGACCCAAAGCAATAGAAAGATCTATTCCCAAAATTGGAGCTGAAATCCATCTCGGAGGTGGCTGCGTTTTAGTGTGAGAGGAGGAGAACAGCCCAATTTTGGCAGGGAAATACATCCAGCATGCATCATAACCCTTCTCCCCCAATTTCATCTTCCTTTGGGTCTGCCTAACAGTTTAGAGGATGAAATAGGAAAAAAAACCAGCTTCCCACTTGAGTTGCTTTTCGTTGTGGATGGGGAGCTCGCTCCCAGCTGGGTGAACACGTACTTCAGTAGGATCTGGGTGAGGCCCAATGTTTAGTTTCCCCTGAGATGCAGTGATGAAAGAGGCTATAGAAATACGAAGCACTGTCCTCTGGTCTTAATTTCATTATCTCACCCTGCAAGCGTGCAAGCCCCCAACGAGAGACAAAGACCCTTGCAGGCTGGAACACACTCCCCGACCTTCAGAAAGCAGGCTGTGCTCAATCTTCCCCTTCGGGTCCTTTTTTTCTGTTCTCCTAGATGATTATTAGTTTTACCATGAGAATTAGGATATTTGCTTCATTATTCCTGTAGAAGGCCAACACTTCAATGTCTTAAAAGGGTCGTCAGAGCTTTTCAATTAGTATTCTTCCCTTTCATGGCATTTGAGAAGAAAATATAAACTGGTGTTGGAAGTTCAAGACTTAGTTTACAAGCACGCAGCCCTTAAGGGACTGGCATCCTATCCCCATGTGTGTCACGTCTGGCTCTTTCCAACCTCAGATGAAGTTTAAACAAATATGTTCATGCTTAAGCATCAATAATCAATACAACTTGGTGACGTTCATAGAATCATAGAATCATAGAATAGATTGGGTTGGAAAAGACCTCTAAGATCATCAAGTCCAACCCCTGATCCAACTCCAATTACTATATCATGGCACTAAGGGCCACGTCCAATCTCTTTTTAAAAACCTCCAGGGATGGTGAATCCACCACCTCTCTGGGCAGGCCGTTCCAGTGCCTGATTACCCTTTCTGTAAAGAATTTCTTCCTAACATCTAACCTAAACCTCCCCTGGCAGAGCTGGAGCCCATGCCCCCTTGTCCTATTGTTGGTTGCCTGGGAGAAGAGACCAACCCCCACCTGGCTATAACCTCCCTTCAGGTAGTTGAAGAGAGTGATGAGGTCACCTCTAAGCCTTCTCTTCTCCAGACTAAACAACCCCAGCTCCCTCAGCCTCTCCTCATAGGACTTGTGCTCAAGTCCCTTCACCAGCCTCGTTGCTCTTCTCTGGACCCGCTCCAGCACCTCAATGTCCTTCCTGAACTGAGGAAGGGACATTGTTCAGAGCTGAACACAGTACTCAAGGTGTGGCCTCACTAACACAGAGTACAGGGGAAGGATCACTTCCCTGCTCCTGCTGGCCACACTGTTCTTGATGCAGGCGACGTTGGTGGAACATAGAGCTCATGGCGCTGGGAGGGGTTCAGCTTGCAGAAAGAATAGCTTCAGTTATTTAATAAATATTATTACCTAATCTTTCTAACGTCTCCTTCGTTTGGCTCTCAGTTTGCAGTCGAACTGTTTATTCATGTCAGCACTTGCTGTCTGGCAATCAGGCTGCTCCGTGGCAATCGTGAGTCTTTCCTGTTTTCATGAGATCATGAATTATTATCTCTGCAATAAACTGTCTCTTCTTTCTCTGCTCTCTGCACCCGGCAGCTGCTTGGGGAGTGATCCCAAAGCCTGGATGTGTCAAGGATGCTGGCAAGGAGTAACAGCAGATTCCCACCCATAATTAGAGCCTAGGGTCGTAACGTTAACAAGTCCCATTTCTGTGTAGAAGAAAGATTGCTGAAGATGTGGAGAAAATATCTAGTCCAGCCCTTTGTACCCACAACAAACCAACCATAATGCTACTTTAAAGCTAATACTGAAACACTTTGTCCTTACTCTCATGACCAGCCTCTTCCCAAGTCTAAGGTCTCGCCATCAACCAACATTCAATTACCCTACTCCTTTCCTCCACAATGCACCACACCAGACCTCCTCCCTCAAGACCAACCTCTGCAGAACAGCATCTGCCTTCTCCTGGTCCTACCAACAGCCTCCTACTCCCTCCTTGTCACTCATCCTTACACCAGTCCAGGTATACAGGGTCTACAGAGCCTCCCTGCTCTCCTCATACTCAATCACAGAGCTTCTCATGATGGCCACAGATGTAGGACTCTTACTCTATGGGCTTCTTCTGCTTTCACAAAGGGCAGATTTTGGTTCTTAGGGACAGATTCACAGGCAATTGGTTTCAGATAGGCAGTAGGTGAGGGCTTAAATTCTGCCATCCAAAGCCAACCTCTCCAGCCCATTGACTTTGGGAGATGCTGGAGAGCATCAACAGCAGAAGGCACCCCAACAAACTTGGCTGTTTCATGCATGCATGCATGTGTGTGAGCCTGTGCTGGCATGTATATATATCTATGATAGGGCAAGTTCTGGGCTTCAAAGTCATCTTGATGGGACAGACTGGATGCTCTTCAAGCTCTTGAAGGTTAACAACCACAATCAAAGCTATGGGGTTGTCCCACCAGGAGAATAGCCCTCAGAGGTTTTGAACATATTATTTACAAGAGATGGGACAACAAAAGTGATTTCAAAAGGAATAGTCCTTGCTCAGTTTTGGGATTGGGAGGAGGCAGAGAAGAGGGCAACCATAAGGCATGGGGAATCAGAGCTGGGGAATGATGTCCTAAGAGAGATGCTTCAAACCTGCATGGCACAGTTTGGGGGTACAGTATGGAAGAAGATGGGGAGAGATAATGCAGTGTTAGCACATACAGGGTGGCTTTCATAGCTGTAGGCAAAAGATGTGTAGGGTGAAACCTGGTATTGCTAAGTTGAAGTTCCTGGATAGTGCATCCAGCAGCTACAGCACAAACCTGGCCACCAAAGATAGTTGGTCTTTATCACTGGCAAACAGTAGCCGCCAAGTCTTCCCCTGAAATTAAGTTTCCTTCTGTCTTAAAAGAAAAAAAAAAAAGAAGACCCCCTCCACAGACAAAGTCTTAGAAATCCAGCCCAAGTGGAGCTGCCAGCCTGGTGGGACCTCACTCAGCTGGGGAAAACCACCAGGATATTTGCCTGTTTTACTTCCTGCCCCAGGTGCTACTGCTTCGTGCTCTTGGTGGGCTCTGAGGACTGCCGCACATCAGTCCACTCCTGCATGGTGCTCTGCAGCGCCTGCGTCTTCTCCTTGTCCACTTGCACATAGTCAACCTTCTCATCCGAGGCAACTGATGAGGTGGAGGGCTGTGGGGAGAAGAAATATGGCCACCGCCTGGTCACTCATCAGCTCCCTGCTTTTCCCTCTTGCTCCTTCCCACAGCAGCACTGTGGGGGCTGCAAATCCACCAGCACCTCCCCTTCTTTCTTGCAGACTCCATTGCTCATCACCCTCCCTCTAACTTCCCGAAGGGTCTTGGATGAATGATTTCAGTCTGCTTTACATCTTGCTTACATGAGATTGTGGTGCAATGGAAGAGTAGAAACAGCACCTGGGTCTCTATCTCCATGCTAACTCTGGGACTTGAATGTTTGGTTGCAAATGTCTTATCTAACTGCTGATATGGCAAATTCAGCTTTGCATCTTGCTCATTTTCACAGAATCACAGAATGTCAGGGATTGGAAGGGACCTCGAAAGATCATCCAGTCCAATCCCCCTGCCAGAGCAGGAACCTAAATGAGATCACACAGGAAGGCGTCCAGGTGGGTTTTGAATGTCTCCAGAGATGGAGACTCCACAACCTCCCTGGGCAGCCTGTTCCAGTGCTCCTTTCTTGTAAAGAACTCAAGAACTCTTGTAGATACACATAAAAATGCCAGTTCCATCCCTCTTCACTGTGCTGACTCTACACTGTTATGGCACTAGATAATTTCCATCCCCAAAACAACAGACATGTCTGCAGGTTCACCAAGGAGACCTGCTGTGGGAGGAGGAGATACTGATTCCTGTAGTTTCTTGAGTCTTGGAACTCTGTCTGCCTCTACAAGTACTTCAGAGAACCCCCAGCTGCCTGCAACTGGAGCCAGATGATGTTTTTTAATGGTCTAAAATTGCCTTTCCAGATTGGGATAGAATTTAAATTGGTAATACTCGCAGAAATATTGCTGAGCAGAAAGAAATGATCAAGGGACAACTGCCAAATAATACAAAGATCTAACCAGTGGGATGCTTTGCCTAGGAAACAAGGTGGTGGTTTAGAAAGTCCAGGCCAACTCACAGGTGGTTCCCACAAAGGTTTATACAATGCCTTGTCCTTCACCATCTACTCGCTCAGGCACTGCTTTGCTTGAGCCAGTCTCTCTGTCCCCCTCCCAGTTTGCTCAGGGTGGTACCCAACAGGACCTGCCTTTGGTCTCTCCTCAGCCCACTCTGTCACCCCTGGGTGTCCTCTTCATCTTGTTATGTTGTCTTGCTGGGGAGGTTGTGAAATCTCCATCATCTGAGACTTTAAAGCCTCATGTGTCACCTCTGAAGAGATGGTTTCCTTTGGATGTGGGGATGCCATGAGGTCCTCCCTTGCCCTATTTTCCTATGATTCACTTTAAGATGGTGTTTGTTTCCCCCATGTGCCACTTACCAGCCCTGCCCAGGGCTTTGGACCATGGTGTTGCCTATCTGCATAAAAACCCCTTAAAAATGCATCACTTTTAATCAGAAGTTTATTAAATCCCCTGTACCTTTCTGTGTGGCCCTGGCGAGCTTGGCTGGAAGTCCAGGGCTAGATAATCCACACTCCCCGAACTCTTTTTAGGTGCTGGGCTGTTGGTGCCACTAGGAACAGGAGAAGCAGAAATGGGGTTTTGCTAATGCAGGGAAGAGACAGGAGAGATAACAAGGATTAAAATGGGAAGAAACAAACAAAAAAGCCCCCAAACAAACAGGAATTAACACAAATCTGGCAATGAAATGCCTTGGTGGCACTTTTAAAAGAGGTCCTAGCCTGGAGGTGTCCACCTGCCTCTCTGGGACCAGGGTGTGCAGAACTGCCGGGGACTATCTATATTGTGTATCATGCTAACAAATATTTTAGGCTCATGCTCTTGATTTTATATATCAGAGCAGTTCTTCTGCCTTTGTTTTTATTCATGTGCCTGACATCAGACGCGGGCTTCAGCATTTCCCAGGAACCACACCTCAGCGAGGCCAGACCAGCTTTGGGATCTTCACTGATCACAGCCACGCTACACAGAGCCCAGGTTTCCTCTACCCCTTTAGTTACACAGCCTCAAAAATATGCTTCAAGCCAGCAACTTTGCAAAGAAAGACTCAATCCCCTCCCTGGAAGCAGTGCCACTCCCTGCTGCTGCTCTGATAGCCCTTGATCTCCACACAAACATGATGTCAGCAGCTATCAGGGGGAAAGAAAAACCTGAAAAAAATCAACTTAAATTAGGAAAATAGACTATGACAGTCCATAGACATTTTTATCCTCTCTTAATTCCTGGCAAAGTAGGTAATATATGTTCCTGCTCTCATGTAGAGTTAAAACCCCCATGAGATATGTCATTTTAGGAACGAAAGCCACTGTTTCGTGCATGTAGGGATGTACATGAGGATGAACACCACGTTCATCATCGTGCTATCTGAGCAATTCCATCTCATGAGCTAGGAATGTGTTTGCAGAGCTGGGGAACATATACGTCCTGCCAGGACTATATATCTTAGTTGTGGGGCCCTTACCATCGCCACGTAGTTCTCCTCGCTGTCTCCTGAGTCAGTGCTGGTGATGCTCTGGGAGGAGACAGGGCGACAGTATTGCAAAGAGCCGGCGTTGAAGGTCTGGCTGTAAGGACAAGGGTCAATGTGTTAATGATGGTTGCACGTGCTGCTTGTCCATCGCTGGGGAAGGATGGGAGAGGGCGGCATCTGCTGCCTTCAAACATCACCATGCTCAGATCTGGGGACTGGTCATGAAGAATGGCTGCTGGCACTGAGGTTCTCCTACCCTGACCTTCCCATGATTCAGAAATCACTGAGTTTCATCTTCTTGGGTTTTTTTTTCTTTCTAGGACTTTTTAATAACACCTTGCTTGCTCTGTACCCGTAACTCTCTCGCTATCAGCTACACAAATCACACCTCATGAATTCTTCCATCTCACAGGAAGTATTTAATTGTGGAGGATGCAGGGCCAACCTCAGTGGAGCTTCTCACCTCCAGCCTCACCACAGCTCCAGGATTTGTTTACCTTGCAGGGCTCTATCCAAATTTTTTGCTGGAAAACAAAACCTCTGAGGCATCATCTTGCTTTCAATTGGCCAAATTTAATTATACAGAATAACATAATGCAATCAGCGTCTGGCATTAAAGCTCGTGTCTTAAAAAGCTATTTGTTGCCTTGCAGTAAAGGCAGGGTCAGATGATTAACTGATAAGGGAAAAATCCATTAGCTTCTCTGGGGTTGGACATCTTGTCAATCAAACCCCGCTCGCTGTTTCCTGGTGCAGTGATTTCAGCACACAATGCTCATGCCCTGCAGTCAGTCTCCACACAATCCAATTTATGAGACGAGTCATAGCAGCCAAGCTTTGCTTCTGCCTTTCATTGGACAACATCAGACCATGAATTAGCAGCTAAACTGGAATTGTGTGAATCTTGTTATTTTTGGCTGGCAGATTTTGCTCTGAAGTGCTTTGGTTTCATTTTGCAGCCTTCCTTCAGGCTAGGCTTTGCTTTCAAGGCAATCAAAACACAGCTTGGTCAGACCCTGTGAGTGTCACCCTGTGTTTTGAGACTACAGCTGGGTTTTTGGGGGAGAGCTGGATGTGAAATCGTGCCCCGTGCCCCCAGTGTGACCAAGTTGGGGTGGCTCAGCTGGGTCATGGTGGGCCACAGGTCCTGTGTCAGAGCCACAGCCCTCCAGGAGTTGTCAGATCCCAGAAAGAGGAAATGTCTTCAAGTGATCTTAATTAGCTGCTTGGCCACACTCTGGACTTTCATGTGAAACCCCAACCTAAATGAATTTATCCTCCTACTACCAACTGTGATGTGGGGAATACAACTCTGGCTCTTACAACACTTGACTAAGCTCATGAGGGGTCCAAGAGAGGAGCTCCTCTGCTTCAGCAGCATCTGACGCAGATCCTAAGTCTGGCCATGATGTGACCAAGGAAACCCCTGAGCTCTGAATCCCCATGGTGTGGCAGGATATTTTAGGAAAGAATTACTCCATAAATGCCCCTCTTTCCAGGTGTCTCCTGCTGGTCCCTGATGCGGGTAGGGTGTTGGTCAAGGTGGAATTTCACCCCAGTGCAGATGTTTGCATGGCAGCTCCTATTTCTAAAATTGACAAAGAACACAATGAGGGCTGAAGGGATTATCCAGCTTTTGGGGAAATTTGGCTCCACATCCAAAGTCTGGGCTCATCTCTAGCTTGATTCAAAATAGCCCATGAAAAACATGCCCCTTCAACAAAAAGAGATGGTGGGCCAGAAGAAACCTCTGCAGCGAGCAGAGGCAGAAGGGCAGCTGACATCCCCCTTATACTCAGCCAGAGATGTTTAATCCATGGCAGAGGTGACAGGGTGGCTACATGTGGGCACCAGTGAGAGCGAGACCAGAGATCTTCTGTCAGAGCAAAGCAAGAATCCATACTCCAACCACTACTCACGTTGGCCTGGACCAGGATTTTGTGATTGGTGATTTGAAGGGAAGCTCATCGATGACAGTGTTATTCCTCAGGTCCAGCGGCGATGGCTTTACTGGGGAGGGGAAAAGACTTTATTCAGAGGCAGCACATTCCTACAATTCAACATCCATGACTGGCATGAGAGGGGACAGTCCCCAGAAACTTGCTGTTTGCTTCCCCTTCTGCTAATCAGTCCCCCAGCCCTCTGTGCTGATGAGGAAAATCCCCCAACCAAAATCTCTGCATTTATTTGTGCCAGATGTGAGGGAAAACAGTGAATTTCTCCCTCTGACCCACAGCCCCAAAGTGGATGGGTGGCCTCAAAAAAGGAATATGCTCCCCAGGCAATGGAGATCTGCTAAAAATGTCCAAACTCTGGGATATAATAAACCCATTAATTGGGGAGCTGTGATAAAGGGAGACTATAAGAAAAATGGAAACAAACCTTTTATCAGGGCCTCTAGTGATAGAACAAGGGGCAATGGCTTTAAACTAAGAGAGAGGAGATTTAGACTAGATAGAAGGAAGAAATTTTTTGATGAAACACTGGCACAGGTTGCCCAGAGAGGTGGAAGAAGCCCCATCTTTGGAAATATTCAAGGTCAGGTTGTATTGGGCCCTGAGCAACCTGATCTAGTTGAAAATGTCCCTGTTCATGGCAGGGGGCTTGGATTAGATGACCTTGAAAGGTCCCTTCCAACCCAAACCATTCTGTAATTCTATGATAACCTGGTACAAGACCAGGCTCTGACAGCCCTGAGCTGTCTCCAGCCAAAGTGTTTCCCCACAGGGAATGGGCAAGGACGTCTGCAGTGTAACATGAAAGCTCTTCTCATCACAAATGGTTCATTAGGTGGAAGAGAAGAGTGGGGATCTCCAGCCCTAGCCCTCACCTAGCATGTTGATGAAGTTTGGTGTTGATACCCTAATGATGGGAGCCTGATGACAGATGTAGTCTGGAGTTTTACAAGAATAGAAGGGAGGAAAGGTTTGCCCACAAACAACCATTCTTACCTTTCCGGTCGGGTTTGAGGTTGCGGTTGACTGGTGGGGGCTGGATTTCACTCAACCGTCTGTGGCACTGCGCCATGGCTCCTCCTTTATGAATGGGGAGGGTGGCCGAGGACAACCCCACCAGGTCAAAGTGATGCGGCCCAGGGCTCATGGGGATGTAAAGGTTTTGGGCATTGTCGTTGGCTTTCTCAGTGTGGATCAGGGGTGAGGAACCGGGGTTCATGGGGACATAGTTGTCCTCAGAGTCGGTGCTGTGGGAGCGGGCCACTTTTGCCTTGGCTTGCTGGGGGACAAGTGGGAGGACATGTTGTGAGTATCAGTCACTGTTCATCCCCATCCCATTATAAAACCTTTCATCTCATCATCACTGAACACACATTTGAGGTGGGACCAGCTCTAAAATCTCAGCAGAGAGGGAAGGGATGGTCTCTCCCCTCCTCGGCCATCAGTTTGCACTGAGAGGGTTTACCTCCACTGCTTTCCAAGACATTGCAACATCATGAGTTCAGGGAAAGGTCTTAATCTCCCAGATTTGAGCCTCTTCTCATGATCAGAGGGAGCTGCAGAAGCATGCTTAACTTGGAAAGTAATTTTTCTCTGGGCTCTGGCCATGATTAAAATGCAATACAAAAGGCTGCTTTAATGTCATTTCCAACTCAGGAAGTCTTAGAAAGTGCACAAAAGAGGCTGTTCTGGCAACATGTCAAAATTCAGCTCAGCAGCACCCCAGGCTTTCAGGAAGGAACCAAACTCCTGGGCACTTTTTTTGGGTCAAAGCTCTAGTCAGATACCCTCTCTGGAAGTACCCAAAGTCAAGCTCTGCATGCAGTGCTGGGTCAGGTGGTTGTTCTTCCACCTCTACCCTGAAGGTCACCATGGTTTTAATTAAAATCAGTAATAAAACCCCTCTTGACTTAACTCTGCAGGACTGGGCTGTGAGGTCCAACCTGGAACCTACTTGTCCCTGAATCTCTAACGTGCACACGGTGCCTATAGTGTGGTGGCCAACACCAAGGCAAACTCACCAGGTAGGAGTTGTACCCGTCGTTCATCGACTCAACCGACTGCACAGCGCTGCCAACCCCATGCTGGGGGTATTCATACGTCTCGCAAGAAGAAGCTGCAACACAACCACAAATGCACAATGTGTCCCAACTCAACTGCTAATAAAAGGGGCCCTTGAAAATAAAATCCAGGTATGGGGGGAACAGTATCCTTGATAATTGAGACATTGGTGTGAAGACATGGTCACAGACTCCCTGCTATGTTCCCTCACAATTAGCATCTCTCTGAGGTGTCAAAGCAACTGCACGTGCCACATGGACCTAACCTGGTTCTGTCAAAGTGCTGCAAAATCCCAGGGGTAAAGACAGCAGATAAGGTAGATCACAGTGACAAAACTGGGTTAAGGGAGAGATCCATTACAGCTCGCTCAGGAGATGTAAAACCTCTGCTAAGGGGAGGATGGGGTGAGGATGGGGTGCTAAGCTCCTAAACTGGTCTATCTACTGCTGAACATGGGTCTTATCTCAGCCCAAATTTTGGTATTTAGGTAGAAGGAGATGGAAGAAGAATTTCAGGCAGCTGTGGGTATCATTTATTGTATGTTTTCTCTCCAACTGCCCCTTCTAAGTTATTTGGCAACTATCCCATCCTAGGCACAAGGTTTGGAAAGGGTACGCTCATCCATGGCCCATCCATGGTCAATGGGAAGGGCAGCTCTGCTGCACTGGAGATGTTGGGTGTTGGAGGTGTGCAAAGTTATGCCCCTCTCTGGTGAATAAAACCAAGGCAGCTCTAGGATGAAATATGTTCTGATAAACCTGGTTATGAATTAAAGTAAAAGCAAGATAAAAATGGCTGAAATCACCAAAATTTGGTGAAGGGCTGCATGGACAAGCAGGTTGTATTGGTTCAAGACACAACACAACCAAGAGCCAGCTGAGAAGCTCCAATGGCCAGAGCCCTGGGGATGCCTCTCCCTGCCTGCTGCATACAAAAACCAGGGCCAGATCCTGACTGGGGAGAGCCTCTTTGTGTTCAACCCCGTGGTTGATGCCAACATCTACTCCAGCCCTACCACAATCCAGTGGTACTGACCCATCCAGAGCTACTAGATGGGACTAAATCACCCTCCAACTCCCCACCTCCAAATTCACCTCGGTGCAGCCTGCTGTTTTCCACTGCTGGCAGCGTGTTTCTCCGGGGAATGGTGGCTGCCATGGGGGCCAGCCCTAAGTTTTCACCAGGCTGGGGCCACTGGGGTGGGCTACCCCACCGTGGCTCCATCTGCCCAGGTTTTGGAGGCCGTGGGGGTGGTGCTGCAGGTGAGTCGCTGGCGGCCACAGCAAGAGTGTTGTGGTTCTTGTCCAGTGTAAATGTCCTGGGGATCTGGTAGATGGAGAGTGGGGTGGCAGGGATGTCATAGGAGTCCGTGGAAAGCTCCCCAAACTCCTTGCATAGAGTGTTGTTGGGAGTCTTGTAGGTGTAGACCTCCTCATTATCCGTTTCGGAGCTGGTGAGGCTTGACTTGGGGTGGGTGTAGGAACCAAAGGCGCGTGGGAGGTCGTAGGCACCATCCCTGAACTCCGAGTTGTGCCGACTGGGTTTTGGCAGGCTGTAAAAGCCATGGAGCTGCCCGCTGACCCCGTTCACACAGTGCCCATTGCCCTGTGAGAGCTTCTGGACCGCTGTGTCACTTCGCATGAAGAAGGCAGACCTCGTGGCTTGGGAAAAGCTGGCACTCCTGCAGAGGAAGAGGAAAAGAGGGCTGAGATGGGTGGAGAACCAGTTCTGGGGTGCACCAAGCTCTGCTCACCCTGTTTATCACCTTCCTGACCCACACTACCCAATCCCAGGGCAATGGGAACATCTCAGACCCTTCCAAACATGACCACAACCCATTTTGTCCTGAAAAACACCTTCAAAATGACCCTGTCTCAGGTGGGAGTGCAGAGCTCCATGGCAGGGCTATGGGGAGGAATGAGCCTTTTATTCCAAAAGAGGAATTTTCACATCAGCTGTCAGCAACCCAAGACATGGCTGAAAGCACTACCCCATCAGCATCACCATCGCCATCATGCATGGGTCACCCATCCACAGTGCAGGAGGGAGGTTTACTCTCACCTCTGCCTTGCAAAAGTGTTTGAGAGAAACTGGAAAAATTCCTGACATGGATTATTTCAAAGCTCCCAGCCATGCCACCACCCTTCCCTCTTGCAGGGCAAGCCCTGGGGAGGTGAGGACACTCCCCAGTTGGATTTTTGGGTTTGTAGCCCTGATCTGCAAGGGGGGAGGAATGAACCTCAGGGTTGAATTCAGATATATAAAAGCCCTCAAGTGCCCTGAGTTGAGCAGGACAGTGTGGTCATTAGGTCCCTGCCTTGCTAATGACTCCTTGGTTTGTATTGTGGTCATGCCCAGGGACACCAGTCAGGACAGAGGGCAAGCATTGAGCAGACCTTGGTCCTTTAATGACTACTCATTAGCCACTGCTCCTCTGCCAATTCCCTCTGAGGTGTTTCATCTCCTGTTTTATCCCTCCTGCTGCTTTGTTTGTCAATGCTCCAATGTTGCAGAAGATGATAAGCCTCATGGGCTTGGCTTTCTGCACCCCTAACCCCAGCAGATGACATTTTCTCAAGTTTGGGAACTCTTGAATTGGCCACTTGGACTTTTGTCTCCTACTGCATCAATCCCCATCCCACTAGACTCGGGGAAATGTGAGCATCATTGTGGAAGTGCTGGGACATGAAGGCGAGACACAACAGAGCTGAGTGTGGGTGATGATGATGCCTTCCCCTGATCTGGCTGAAGCAGCATGGAAGAAGAAAATATGGCAAAGATCCAAAAAAGGTTTACCCTGCCATGAAGAGCTAATGCATGCATGCCAGGAGAAGGTGACAGGTAGTCTTCAGCTGGCTCTATTTGCTGACAGAGGTATAACCACACATGGGTCAGGTGTTTAGGGACCATACGCTCACAACCAGAAAGGATTCATCTCCCCACGGAGAAGACTCCTGCCCAGTATCAATCATTGCACTGGGAAAAAGTGAAATGGTTACGTGAGGGGTTTCCAGTTGTGGCAAATCACAGAGGAAGTGCCAGTCCTATGGGAAAAGTTGGGAGATGCTGCTTTACACCATTCCCGTGGGGTTGATGCTCTGCAGGGACAAGAGGGACTCTGTTTCATGGAGCCAGCACGAGATGGCGCTCAGAAATAGGACTTATTTGGGGAAAAAACCAAGTGATGCTGTGATAAATTCCTGCT